ACTCAATCCCTTAATTACTAGCGGGTTTTAATCCTGTGCTCCGTAGGTAACACGGGTGTTTCCTAATGAAACACTGCCAGAAACCCCGGCAGGACACTCAGTTGGTCCACAACCACTTGGCCATGCAGGGACCCCCATCTGCCATCCCAAAGCAAGCTTTGCTTGGTTAAAACCAAACTTATCTCCTACCTTCACGTTCTGATTTCAAGGAAGGAAGCAGAAATCCAGCAAAGCAAGTTTTTCCCTCAGACATCGCCATGGTCTTCCCCATGTGCATCGTTCTCATCTGTCCACATTTTTTGGCGCATTAAGGGAAGAGCAGCTCACATTCATTAATGTTTGTTCCGATAATAGACAAGCTGGAGGAATATTAACATTCACTCTGATTTTCAGGTTGACCATGTCCCAGAGACTCTTTTTTAAGGCAGGGTTTGAATTTGTTGCGCGGGGCTTCTTATTCTAAGTGCTCAGAGGCAAAAATAATGTGGGTTTATTTTATTTTATTTTTTAATAAGTGATGGCTAGCAAAGTTAGTGGCTACTTTGGGGAATAAACTGCATTTCAATAACTGCTCTCTTCTCATGAGAATAAATACACAGACAGAAGGGCGTAGACACATATCTTTCTTTTTCCAATATCTTCCATCTTAGCTGGTGACTTGCTAAAAAAACCTGTGCTTTTCCCTTTATTTCTATCATTTAACTTACATTTTAAGCAAACAGTAACTTCCCAAGTACTTCCAAGCAACTGATTCAGGTTGGAAAGTAAAACTTCCTTTTAGAAAAAAAAATTGCAACATAACTATGTCTCGAACACAGACATTTGAGAGCAGTTTAAGCATAGCTCCCCTTTCTCTAGAAGAAAGCCTCAGGTTGCCCTCATACCAGGCTGGAGTAGACTTCAGTTTCTTTTTTTATTCCCTCGCCCAGTCCTCTGCTCGACCCCAAAGGCTCTCACTGCCCCGGCCTCCTCCTTGCCACCCATTCCACCACCATCCACCCGAGATGCCGCCTCTTCTGGTTTCCCATAAAAGATCCAGCCTTTTTCACTCCAAACTCCTTTTGTGCCCACCTCTGTTATTAGTTCCTCTGAAGAGATCGTTCAAAAGACAGGCAGAATCTGCACCTTTTTATTTCAGAGGAAAAACTGGAAAAATAACAATAGAGGAAATTAGACAATATCTCGTTAAATTCACTTGGAAGCGTGTGTGCTCCTCTCATAAACAGGATAAAGTTATTAATAGGTTCCCCAAAAAGGGTTGCTGCTGGAGAAAAGGTAAGCACATAAGGTATACTAAATATTTCTTCCATACACATATATATTTGTCCCAGTATAACTCTTACCAGTAGACGAGGATATCATCTCAAAGAGAAACAGCAATTTTTGCTGGTGTGACAATCAGTGCTAGAGTTCTCTGGCATTGCCTCTAATCAGATCTTTCCTACCTGTCTGCATGACCGTGTTGGCTGGAATCATCATGGACTTAAGAAAAAAATTGGTTTTCCACCTTCTAGCTTGGTTTATAAATCAGAGGAAGCAAATTTATTCCGAGCCTCCTTTTCTTCTCCCATTTTTTAATTCTACATGGTGCTGGGCGTCCACGTACGGCTGTGTCTCCCAGAGGCTCTTCTCTTCACTATTTATTGCTTTCCACCTTACACGGTTGGGATAAGCCACCAACAGCCTCCTTGGGCACGTCACCCCGTGCCAATCACACTCTTGCTCTTTCTCCCCTTCAGATTATATAATTGGAAAGTTCCCTTAGTGATTTCAAGAGTTAGAGGTCCAGAGATATTACCTCCTCAACCCTTGAGATGGGTTGTCTTCTGGGAGCCAGGATATGCCCAGATCAGAAACTGCTGCGAGGTTATTGAGAAGCAGCATCTCAGCACCTTGTAGCTATGGAAACACACAAGCCGGAAAGATTTACCCATCTTTGCGAAGCCTTGAACATCATAAAGAATACACTACCCATTTCCAAAACAAAACGTTGCCAACCTACTGAAGACCATAGTTCTAATATCAAATTAGGAAATGGCAGAGGTACTAATCAGCAGAGAATAATACTTGAATATAATGTTAAATTTATTACTCTATTTCCTTCATGGAGAATACTATCTCTCGTGGCACCCATGTAGGGACAGGGTCTGGATGGAGAGAGACTGGCAGAGGAGCGAACACGGGCTGGGCTGTTGGGTGCAGAGGGTGATGGGTTGTACTCTGCCTGGAGGCTGGGAAGTGCCACAGAGGTTTATCCTCTTTCATCTCTTTAAATAAAGCCAAGGAGGACACCATGGTGTGCAGGTGACCGCCCCACAGTACCTGAGCAAGGCGAGTAGAGTAGACCCAGAGACCTGGGCCAAATTCAACCAAGACTCCAAACCATCAGCCAAGTTGGTGACAATGAGGCAGGTCCAAGGTCAAGCCAAGTCAATCCCCTGGTCAGGTCCAACAATTGCTAGGCAGGTCCATGATCAAGCAAAGCTGTGGATGAAAGCAGTCTATTGGTACACACACCTAGTGCTAAACTGGAAACCAGCACTCCTCCAGCAAAACCCAAAAGAGGAAGAGGCTCTCTGGGCTGAGCTTAAATAGAGCTGATGGGCAAATGGGCAGAGGCTGGGGATGGAGGCCCCAGGTGAGGCTGGTCAGGGCCATTAAGGCCAATTAGTTCACTCTGGGAGAGATCAATCACTGTCTGAATTTCTCCGCCCATTTCTCACCATTGATTATAGTGGAAGCCCAGAGTCACCTGCTCAGGTGTGGACATCTGTGCCACAGGTACCTAAATGTGGACAATCCCACACTTGCTAGAGAACTGGGCTGTCTAGTGTCCACAGACAGACATCAGCAGCTCCAGAGACGGAGTCAGTTGTGCTTTACAAACCGTTTGGGGATCCTCTGAAGGACTTGAAATGTCTCTAAACCCGTTTTCATTCTGTCAGCGAGGTCAGACCGAAACCTTGGCAATGTCCACAAGTATCTCAGAAGCATGGTCACCACTGCCCCTGCGTACCTGTGTTCAGCAACGGCTCATCCACATGATGTGGAAGCAGCACAATGGCTTTCAGAATTGCATTTCACCTCCTTTATTATTTCTTTTTTTTTCCCTGGTAAACCCTTCCATGAGGAGCCCTGAGGGCTTTCTCCCAGGAGAACAGAAGGGACCATATTTACAACCCCGTCACCCACAAGCTGTTGGAAACTGGGCAGGAGCACGTCTCTCTCCCCATCAGGCCGTTAAGAGAGGTTAGGCGGACACGTGGATATTCTCCTCCGTATCCGGGATAAACCCTTGGCTCCCATCACTCCGTAGCGGCGAAGGAGCAGGAGGAGCCAAGACAACGCAGAACCTCCCCTGTGTTTAGGCAGTTGGCTTTCTTCTTCATCTCCTCGTGTCCTCTTTTTTTGGGCTCTTTCGGAAAACAGCCTGACCCAAGGAGGTTTTCTTCACAATAAGAGGGAATAGTGTCTTGTGGAAATCGTTTTTCTTTTACTTAGGCAGCTTAAAGCAAGAGGAACTGATTTACGCCAGTGTTAAATAAGGTCAAGTCTTATTTTGTTATAAAGAAATGCAACATTTCGAATCGTCAGCAGAATATAGTCGTCAGCAGAACATAGTCATTAACAGAACAGCCCTCGGACTCATCACGTTTTAAAATTAACTCGGTTTCCAAATAAGCGTCTTAACTTAACACCCATGGTTTTCGGGTCCTTCAGCGTGCTGCAGCTCATAAAGGTATAAATCATTAATTTACCCACATGAGTTTTATCCGTTGCAAATGATATATGATAATTCTCTAGATGTGATCTGAAGACCAGAATAATAATTAAAATCCAAGGGAAAATGTCTGGAGGTTGTTAATGTTGTGCAATCTGTGATTTCACTGCAACTGTGACTTTCCCTTCTCCAGGTTTACGTGCGCTCCTCCGAGGTTCCTCCGAGGTGTCTTCTGAAACAGATTTCTTTCGGACTGAAAGGGAATAAAGATCTGATCCTTTTCTTAAATCTGGAAACACCCATGCTAGAGTAAACCCATAGTTTTAAGTATCCAAGCGTAAGAAAAAAAATTGACATTTGGATCGTCTCAACTCACTCCCTGTTCTTTTCTAAGTACGTCAACTGCAAAGCAAAAAAACAGACAGTTTGGGTTTAGGAAATACAGCACAATATCCAAAAATGCGGTAGTTTAAACTGGCGATTGCTTGGAGTGAAACTCTGGTTTCTCATTTTGATGTTTTTCTTCCCTTTTTGCCTCAGCAGGTAACATCTGCGTTATTGAGCTTTACGTACCCTCCCTAGCTTTATCCCTTAGGTAACGGAGAGGACAGATGCCGCAGAGCAGCGCCTGTCATAGGTGAGATCGGTGTCTTTTTTTCCTCTAAAACGAGTATTTCATTAACATGAGCAACTGGGTGTAAATGCTTTGCATTTCTCCAGCACAGCATTTTATTTTATTTTTTTTATTAAGACATTATTTATAGCATTATCAGAGCTTCGCAGAAAATCCCGTGGAAAGGCTAATTGGAATATAATTTTTAAAAAACAGCTGTTTGGATGAGTATTTACCATCCTCAAACATTTGTCAAACTTATGTTTTCTATAATGTCTTTTTAAATACTTTCAGTGAAAAGGTAATCAGGTCTGATTTTTTTTTCATAAGACATTGGGGAATGAAACGGCATTATCTTACAAACGCCGTAGCTGTGCTGTGCATGACATATAGACACCCAGGCAGATATCCACAGCTCTAATGGTACACAGTGTATTTGCACTGGTGGTGAAACATTATTTAACAGAGTCAGTATTTCCCATAGGAATACTTGATTTAGCCAAAGCTGCTTTTTTTTTCCCGATAGAATACTCAGTGTAATCAGTAAATATTTATTTATCAAAGGAACCGTTTAAACTAGAAGAGTGTAGGGAGGAGAGGTTCTATTTTTTCTTCTTTTATTTTTTGATACCCTCTTTTTGTGGCAAGTACGAGGAAGGGAAGAAGATGTTTGTGAGATCTAACTGCACGGTTAATAAATTTGTCCTCCTGGGACTTGCTGAGAGCCCAGACGTTCAGCTCCTGCTCTTTGGGGTGTTTCTACTGGTTTATGTGTTCACCCTCTTGGGGAACGTTGGCATGATGACCCTGGTTAGGACCGACCCGCACTTGCACACCCCCATGTACTTCTTCCTCCACCATTTGTCCTTTGTTGACGCTTGTTACTCCACGGTCATCATGCCCAACATGCTGGTGTCCTTCATCTCGAGGAACAAAGACATTTCCTTTACCGGCTGCGTGGCACAACTTTACAGCTTTGTTTTCTTCGGGATTGTTGAGTGCTACCTTTTGGCTGTGATGGCATACGACCGCTACGCTGCCGTCTGCAGCCCGCTGCGGTACGTGGTCATGTTGCCCAAGTCGGTGTGCGCCTGGCTGGTCTCAGCTTCCTACACCCTCGGCTTTCTTTATGCAGCGATATACACCGGCTGCACCTTTGGGGGGTCTTTCTGCAATTCCAACGTCATCGACCATTTCTTCTGCGACATCGGCCCCTTGCTGAAGCTCTCCTGCTCTGACAGGGTTCTCAGGGAGAAGGTCATCTTTGCCTTTGTCAGCCTAAACGGGATTAGCACCAGTGGAGTCATCTTGGTCTCGTACCTGTACATCCTCTCCGCCGTCCTGAGGGCGCACTCAGCACAGAGCAGGTCCAAAGCCTTCAACACATGCACCTCACACCTAATGGTCATCTCCTTGTTCTATGGGGCAGGGTTCTTCGTATACCTGCAGCCCAGCACCAGCCACAACGGGCTAGACAAGGTGGCCACTGTGTTTTACACACTGGTGAACCCCTTCATCTACGGCCTGAGGAACAGAGACGTGAAGGTGGCTTTGATGAAACATATAAAGAGAGGTCTCTGCGTCTGTCTTCTTTGAAATGGGGAGGGAGGGTCTGAAACTGTAAGAACCAAGTAGTTCTCAAGGATGCAGAGCTTATAATAAAGTTTAAATTTTATTTTACCCTCCCAAAGATCAGTATTTTCTTTCCCAGTCTTGGGCCAACGCAATGGTGGGGGAAGACGGTGGGACACACCAGGCTGTATTTTCTTTCTATAATTGTAAGATATAACTTGGGAGGGGGTGGAGGGTATGGTGTAAATTTGTGCGCTTTAAATTTGAAATACTGCACTTTAATTCTGAACAGATTAATTGAATGGGCACAGAGAACTACAGGGACTCAGCTGACACTGAAACCCAGTCAACCCGGTCAACCCAATCAACCCAATCCTCCACGGTCATAGAATCATAGAATGCTCCACAGAGTTTTTTCTCTGCTGTTCTGGCGCTTGGTGATCAACGGCATCAATATTGTGCCTTAGGATTGCAACACACCAACATAGGGCAGGGACACAGGCTGTGTGGATTGGGAAACCTTGAGATATAAGGTGGGATTCACCATCAAGCACACAAGGGAATTGAGTCTAACGTACTTGGTCATTTGGTCTTGGATAAAATAAGAGATTCGTGAATATCCCCTTGCTTTTATTACCAGCTGGTTGAGTAAGGTGGTTATTTGGCACCCCCCTGTCACTGATGGGGACAGTCCGAAGATGGGAATCTGAAATAGTTGGCATGAACATCTCCAGGAGGTTGGCTTGCTGCTTTCCTCTCTCTATGCTTGTTACTGGCCAGCATGGTAAGGTCAAAGGAGGTTAAGAGGAGATCCCATCTAAATTCAATCCACGGAGGAGCTTAAGGATGATAGAATCATAGAATAGTTTGGGTTGGAAGGGACCTTTAAAGGCCATCTAGTGCAACCCCCTTGCCATAAGCAGGGACATCTTCAGCTAGATTAGGTTGCTCAAAGTCCCGTCCAACCTGACCTTGACTTTTTCCAGGGATGGGGCATCTACCACCTCTCTGAGCAACCTGGGCCAGTGTCTCACTGCCCTCATGGTAAAAAAAATCTTCCTAATATCTAGTCTAAAGGAGGAAATGCTTTTGAAAACAAGCCCATGTGGAGATCAAGACACAGACAGTGGCTCAGCTGCTGGGTGTTTGCAGAGGGCAGCATGGGCAGGTGCCCACTGGGAAGGGCAGTGGTTGGGGGGCCGGAGGGCAAACAGCAGGGCTCATGGTCCTGGTGGGTTCCCTGGCACAGGGAAGGGTGGGAGGCGTGTGCTGGAGGTCTGTGTTTGGCTGCTCAACAGGAGATGGAAGAGGAGGACCTCCTTGATGGCACGCTCTGAAATGCTGCCAATGTCACATGCGATACCCAGGTGGCCAGCAGACATGTGGATTTGGGTGTGACAGGAACTGGAGAGCACCTGGGGCAAGAGGAGTTTGTACGGGAAAGATTCATTGCCCTTTAATGATAAGGGAGCGAGACCTTGAAAATGGAAGAGGTCAGAAGGTAGGATTTAAGTTGTAAATTGGGAGATGTTGATGGCTGTGGAAGAGCATTTTGACAGGGCTGTCAAGGACCCTGGAGATAACGTCCAGCGTACACCTGAAAGAAAACAAGACGGGGGGGGGCTACATGCAATAAAATACAGAACTGAAAAAAGAAAAAAAATCAGACTGTCTACAGTGTCTGGTGAGAGGCACAAGCCAGGGGTAGAAAGAAAGCAAGACCTGGGAATGTTTCCAAAACAAATCTGGAAGCCCAAGTAATAGGGTGAGGAAAGAAAAAATCTCTGGTGTTAAGTGAAGCTATGGCGTCCTTTATCACAAACCCAGCAGATAAATATCATGTCAAAGCTACTTCCACATGAAAAACTCCCTCAGGGCGTTCTTCACCTCCCTGTTCCTGAGGCTGTAGATCAGGGGATTCAGCATGGGCACCACCAGTGAGTAAAAGACAGAAAAGGTTTTGTCCGTGCTCAGGATGTCGCTGGGCCTTGGTCGGAAGTTCAGGGCGAGGATAGACCCGTGGAAGATGGTGACTCCAGCCAGGTGAGAAGTGCAAGTGGAGAAGGCTTTGTACCGGCCCTTAGCAGAGCTGATCTTTGAGACGGCAGAGAGGATGAAGGCATAGGAGACAAGGACCGCCAAGATGGTCACCATCTCCACCAGTCCCGCAAGGCCGAATACCAGACGCCTGTTGATGTGGGTGTCAGAGCAGGAGAGCGCTAGAACAGGCATGAGTTCACAGTAGAAATTGTTGACCTCAGCTGGCCAGCAGAAAGGCAGGCTGAAGGTGAAGTCCGTGTGCACCAAAGAGTGCAGCAGTCCAAGCACGTAAGAACCGGCTACCAGCAGGATGCAGACCCTGTGAGACATGATGGATGGGTAAAGCAAAGGGTTGCAGATGGCCGTGTAGCGGTCGTAAGCCATTGCAGCCAGAAGGAAGCACTCGGTGGTCCCAAAACCTATGAAAAAAAAAAGCTGGGTGGCGCAACCAGCCAGAGAGATTGTTTTCTTCTCCATGAGGAGGTTCATTAGTGTCCTCGGCGCCACCACTGATGAGTAGCAAGCATCTAGGAGAGATAAATTGCTAAGGAAAAAGTACATGGGCGATTGAAGTTGACTGCTGCTCCTGATCAGCACGACCATGCCCAGGTTCCCTGCCAGAGTGACGAAGTAAATGAGGAGGAACAGGACGAACAAAGGCACTTGTAGTCGTGGGTCGTCTGTCAGTCCTGCCAGAGTCAACTCCGTAACTTGCTCAGTTTGATTTTCCTCAGCCATCTTCTCCAAAAGCACTGTAAGTTACATTCACAGAGCCGGAATAAAAGCAATAAATTAATGGGGACACTCAGCACCTAAAAAGACCAACAATGCCCAGTGCCTGTACTGGCTAACCCTCTCGTCAGCAGCGATTTGTTTAATTTTAAATCAACTTTCATCAAAAAACAATTTGGCAAGACAGTGGAAATTTTATTTCGGTATCAATTACTCCACCAAGTGTTCAATCTTTCACTCATTCTGACACATACGCATTTTTATCTACTGTACACTCGTAGTATATACCACATTTCAGTGTAACCCTCCCAAGTTCTAACAAAAAAGAGTAAACGAAAGGGCTCAGTGATCCCTATAACAAATTAGTTATATTGATAATGAAAATAGACTTCACAGAATTCAAACTAGAATATAAACTTCCAAATTTCAGGAAGCCTTCCCAGTGGAGGTTGTTTTAAAGATGATTTTGCTTGCATTGCCGCGGAGAGAAAAAATGAAAATCCCCCTTACTCTTAAACTTCTCGTTTATTTGGCTCATTTGGGGTTATGCTTTCACGAATGGAAAAAGCGCGGTGCCACCATGTGGGGGAAAAGAAAACATTAAAAAAAAAAAAAAAAAAAAAGATGGGACAACACATCTTTGCCTTTGTAACGTCTTTCTCCACGTCCCCTCATTCTAAAAATCATACTCAGGAGTTTTAAATGTGGAAATGCATCAACACATCCTGACTTTTATCATCACAGAAATCGGTGAGAAATACGGAGCCGCCCTCCACAGTGGCAGAGAAGCAGCCGCTGTAACAGAAATGGATATTTAGAACGACCTAAGAAAATTGTTGGGTAAACTGGACCACTTTTAGTGGAAGATTGTGGAAAATACCGCGCTGCTCGGAAGGTTCCCGCCGCCACGACTAAATCTCTTCAGAGGAATCAGGAAAACCCGCAGGGAAATGGGCGTAAAACCGGCCTGGATGAGCCTGGCTCATTCTTTCGAGAAGATAAATTCGTAATGGAAAATCAAATAAACACTGCAGCGAGGTGGGAGAAGCTCACGGGATTTGGCTGCGCGTCAGAAACCTCAACCGTGTGTTGGCGCAGCAATAGGGGTGAAAAACACGGCAGGAAAACCTGCGGAATAGCGAAATTGCTCAAGGTGGGATTTCCCCAGCGGTGTAGAGATAAAGACGGACGCTAGCTGGTCTTTTACCTGCTCACTGCTGCTATGAACTTCAAAAAAAAACCATGTAAAAACATAAATGGTAATATAACCTTCAAAAAATTTTGTGTGCCTGGTGATTTTCCTTCTCCTCTTGTTCTGCCGCTCTTACGTGAAGAGAACAGCTCGCCTTGGTTTGGCTAATAAAGATAAAGCAGGGATTGATAAAATTCAGCTTTACAGACCTGACCTCTGAAGGAGGATAAATTCATATATCACCTTAAAATTTCAGCTATAAAACAAATCCGGATGTCCTCTTTTCCTTCCCGGCTGAGGTCTTGCTTCTCACTTCTTCCTTACTTCGCATTAACTCGTGACCGGTTGCGAGGACAGTTATATGTTCGGTCCGCCCGACCTGACGGGGTTAATTGCTTTTTAATTCTTGCCTCTAATCCACTGAGGCTTCTGAGGTGCTTTTGTCGCGAAGCGTTTCGGAAAACTTCCTTTGGGAGAAACGCAATTAGTTTTATATTCCTTTGTCAAACATATATAAGGATAAAAATATGTGTCCAACTTCTCTATGCATATATGTATATGTATGACAGAGGAATATAAAAATGAAATGAAATGAAATGAAGTGAAATGAAGTGAAATGAAATGAAATGAAATGAAATGAAGTGAAATGAAATGAAATGAAATAAAATAAAAAAAAAATGAAATGAAATGAAATAAAGTAAAATAACATAAAGTAAAATAAAATAAAGTAAAGTAAAATAAAACAAAGTAAAATAAAATAAAGTACAATAAAATAAAATACCAGTCTTACAAGTCGAGTGGCTCACAAAGGCTCGGACAGACCTCATGGAGTCATCTCATAATCCTAGATATTCATAAAACACGTCCAAGCACATGGTTCCCCATTGCTGGGGGAGAGAGAGGTGTTTCTGGGGTGGGTTCCATGGGACTTGCTGTAGAGACCGGTCTTGCAACAACGCGAATTACATATAGAGGTGTCTGTTTCTTGGGGGTGGGAGGAAATATTGACGGGGTGAAAAATGTACCTGACCAAGAACATTGTTTATCCCAACCAGGAAGTTGTTTACTTGTATTTTTTACCTGAAGTTGTTTGTTTCTTAATACCATGACAGAGAGACCTTCAGGGTATGGGGATCGATCCCCTTTCTGTAACTTCTTGGTCTACTCTACAGAAAGTCTGTTTCACAATAGGCTTTAAAGGGCTGGGAAATACCGCATTAATGAGTCGATAAATGGTGAAACAGCTATTATTGACCCAACGCGTGATTAAGCTATTTATATTTGCACACCGTCTGAGAAGCGGCTTTAGGGAGGGCAATGGCGAGGTTCAGATTACCTCATTTTTCCAGGGAAACCAGCACCGACGCTCCCTGTGACCTCTGGACGGACCAAACAGCTTGACCTCAACCTGCAACTTCACTTGCAGGAAGCAAGTTTTCAGTGAAAAAACCTTATTCGAGCGCCACGCCACAGATAATAGCTCGAGAAACTACACTGAAGAAACGGGTGACTGAGTCATTAACCAATTATATGATGTCCTATAGTCCTGCAGGTCTACCCCATTCCCATCCAGCCCTGTAAGCACTGGCTTTCAGAGAGACGCTCCACAGAAAAAGGTTTTCCAACTCTTCTGGGTTCTCCTCTGAACCTGAGCATTCTGGAAACCCATGTCCAGTGCAACCCAGGCTTTCTTTGAAGCCATTGAACAGAGAAATGAGATGAACAGGATGAATCAAGCTGTGCTTCTCACTGTTCTTTGACCACTGATGGTGCACGAGGTTGCGCTTCATCTCACCCAACTTCAGCTCTGCAGAAGTTACGTGTCTAATCTGTGTCAGTCACCTGACTTCTCCCTGTAATTAAGGCAAATAAATGACAAAGAAATTACCCTCAAGACACTTTCATACAGACTTCTGCGCAATTTTGAGTCCCACTCAATAACAGCAATACGGAAATTCTCTCCTGGTCAACAGCTTCCTTCGCTCACTGCCT